TGTGTGAAATAATACAAAAAACTATGTGTCGGTCTGTTGGGAGCCTGCTGCCCTAAAGGGAGCTGGAGTTTTTGGAGAAGACCTGTTTACTCTGCTTACGGAGTTCCAGGATGTTAGAAGTTCTGCAAACAGAACTTCTTCCCAGAATTAACTCCTGTTCTCTGAGGACGTGCTGGCATCTGCGTATGTTCCCCACTAACCAGGAAATTTGTTTTCAGCAGTAACTTATTAATCTGTATAAGCAAAAACGCAATGCGTGCTATTTTCTTGTTCCTTTGTTCCTATCTTCAATAAAAGCTTGGGCTGGAGATAAAGTGACTTTGTTCTAATGAGGCAATGCTTGTTGGGTTCTGGAGGTGAAGGGGTGGGCACTGGTCCCCAGAAAGACCAAACCATGACTGGGGGCTTGGAATTTCAGCCCTAGTCCCCGTTCTCTGGGAAGGAGCGAGGGACTGGAGATTGAGTTTATGGTCAGTTTTGAGGAAGGCTCCACTAAAATTCCATGAGTACTGGATTCAGAGCTCCCAGGTTGGTGAACACATGTGGGTACTGGAAGGTGGCACCCCTGGAGAGGGCATCCTTTCCCCACACCTCACCTTTTGAATCTCTGCCTGAGCCCTTTATAGTAAATCCATAAACATAAGTGCCCCCCTTAGTTCTGTGAGTCAGTCTACAAGTTGTCAAGCCCAAGGAGTGTGCATGGGAGCCCTGATTTTTAGCTGCTTGGTCAGAAGCACAGGTGTCAACCTGGGACTTGGAAGTAGCACCTGAAGCGGGGGCAGCCCCCCTTAGCCTGCGGGGGTCTGAGCACTAACTCCAGATGCCGTCAAGGAGAGCTGGACAGGACAGACAGTTGGTGGGCAGAGAACTGCTCGGGGTGGGGATCCCCCCAACACAAACACATCTAGTGTCAGAAGCACCCGAGTATGGTGGTGGTTGTGAGGGTTTTCCTAGGGAGCCCTATTCCTCACCCTGAGCCATGTGTGTTGGTTGGTACGGCTGGCTCACCCACATCCCGACCCCAGAAATGGCACAAGACAGGGGTGGACAGCAGTACCCCCCCAGCCCCTCCCGTCAGGACTGCAGATACCTGCTGAGGGCTGGGAGGGTCCACAGCCACATCCCCACCTGCCCGTCTGCACAAAGGGAGGAGGGGTCCCGTGATGCCTCATGACAACAGCCTCAGTAAAGTCCAGGGAATGGGACCAGAGGAGGGTCTTGGGGCTCAGGTTCACCCCCAGTGTATGAGGGGATCGCCCAGCAGGCGTGGGCTGCAGAGCACGTGTGGGTTTCAATTCAATTAGGGAGAAATCCACCCAATGATGAACAGCTCCAAGATACAGAAACAGAACATTCAAAAGCATAATGGACGCGGTGATTGTTTCCTTTATTCAAGTCAAAAACAATGCTACATCTCGCTCGGCAGCCTCGAGTCTCACACGCTGATTACCACGCAAGTCAAAACTCAGGGGAACAAACATAATTCAGATGCAAACCTGATTTAGGGAAACAAAGCCAGCTGAGCCCTTCTCAAGTTGGGAGAACAATGGTGGAGACTGAGCGTCTTCAAGGCTGTACTTAGTGAAAGTGCTTGTGTCCGCTTAGGCCCCAGGGTTTTCTGCACCTTGAGCTCCTCATCAAAGGCTGAGATTGGGCAATTAGGAAAATTAGGACGTCTTCAAAGTATGATGAGGAAATTAGGCGCATAGTCCAGAAGAGGTGACAGTCATGTCTGGGTGGCCCCTGGGGTCTGTGGCCTTTTCTATCGTGATATAACCCACATTCATTCAAGTCCACAACACTGAGTGTGCAGCTTGGTTAGACACACACATGCAGACACACACACCTGCACCCACACACATATGCACTCACACACATGCACAGGAACACACATGTACACACATGCACGCACACACACACATACTTACACACAGCACATGCAGGTGAAAATAGAGAAGCTCCCTGGGCCCTTCCTAGCAGCACTGCCTCCAAGGATTCTGGTATTCTGATTTCTGTCACTCTAAGGGGTTCCAGGTTTTTCAGCTTTGTACACACAGAATCACACTGTGTCTTTTTTAGACACTTTGCCCAACATCATGTCTGCGAGACTGTCCCATGTTGCCCTGGGGCCCTGCCTGTCCTTTCGTAGGGTGGAAGAGTATTCCATTTGTCTTTTCCATCCTACTGTTGATGGGTGTTTGGGCTGTGTCCAGGGCGGGGTACAAGGAATAAGGTTGCTGTGACCTTTTTCCTGCAGATGTCTTTGATGGACACTTACTTCCACACGGTCTGGAACTAGGAAGGAGACAGCTGGGCCGTGGGGTGGGGAGAGGCACGCGTGTACACAACCTCGAAGAAGCTGCCCAATGGCCGTTAAACCAATTAGCACCCCCACCAGCAGGATGCTGCTCCAGTGTTGGCAGGTTGGGGTTCGAGGTGGCAGTAGCAGAGACGGACTAGGAGCATCTAGAGGACCAAAGGAAGATCAGGAGAGTCTGGAGTCCCACGGCCCATTGGGGAGGGGGTGACCGACTGTGTCAAGGGCTGAGATGGGAACTGGGAACTGACCGCAACCGGAGGCCAGGGCGACCTGATAAGCAGTGCTTTGGTGGCATCCTAGGAACAGATACCTGCTGAAAAGGGTGGAGAGAAGAGGAGTCTGGGGGCCTGGAAAACTCTTTGCATTGAGCAATTACAATGCAACAGGAGAGGAAGGGGGCAGGTGGGGAAAGTCATCCCAAAGAGAGTTATTTTTCTAAACAGTTTTATTGCAACATAATTCACATCCCATAAAATCTACTCCCCTCTTTAAAGTCTACAATTCGGTAGCTTTTAGCATCAAATATGTAAATATACATAAGTAAAAGAAATCTATATTATATGTGATACATAAACATAATGAATAAAATAGATAAATAAATGCACTTAATATTTTCACAAGATTGTGCAACCATCGCCACTGTGTCTTTTCAGGATGTTTTCATCACCCCAGAGAGAAACGCCATCCCCAGGAGCTGTCGCTCCCCATTCCTCACTCCCCAGTCCCTGGAAGCAACTGATTTTTCTGTCTCTGTGGATTTGGCTGTTCTGGACATTTCCTGCAAGTGGGATCACATGCTATGTGGTGTTTTGTGACTGGCTTCTTCTACTCAGCAGATTTTCAAAGTTCATCCATGTTGTACAATCAGTATATCATTCCTTTTTATTTCTGAATAATATTCCATAGTATCTTACATACAAGACAGGGACCACTTTTGTTTGTCCATTCATCAGTTGATGGACTTTGTTTCCATGTGGAGCGATGATGAAAAATGCTGCTGCTAATAACACTTGTGTGTTAAGTGTTTGTATGGACGTGTTTTCAGTTCTTTTGGGCTTATGCCAAGGAGTGGAATTGCTGGGTCAATTCCCATCTGATTACTTCCTTCTCTCAGTGAAACAGAAAGCAAAGTCACCACTGAAGAAAGAGGACAGAGGAAGGATGGAAGCTGAGCAAAGAAGAGGCTGGGGGAGGAATGAACAGGGAAAATGCCAGCTAGTTGCCACAACATCACAGTCTCTCTCGGCTTAGAGATGATGAATTGGAAGTGAGGCCAGTAGGTATGGTCAGGAGCTTTTCTTTTTTTAATTATTTCTTTTTAAATTTTTTTTGTGTGTAGAAGAACTGGGGTGCAGGCCAGAGGTGCAGAGGGGTGAGAGGATTCACCAGAGACAGAGTGGGGAGCAGAATAGGTAGATCTATGAAATACACTGCTAAGGGGAGCAGCAGGCAGGACAGGAGAGGTCTGCTGCGCTATATGGGTCAGCTACCTGGCTGGGGATCAAACTTAAGCCATCGTGGTCATAGCACTGAGACAACCCTAAGGCCACCAGGGAGGCCCAGGAGTTTTTCTTTAGCCATAGGTAGGCAGATGCAGGTGAGGAGGGGGTGGAGATTCAAGCCTCCAAGGCCTCTGTGGCAGGGTTGCCGGTGCCTGGGGGCAGGAGCAGCCTGCTTCTTAGTGGCTGCAGCAAGAAGCCTCTCTAGAGGGAGGAGGTCTTCATCCTCACACTAGGCCAGCTGACATCTCAAAGCAGGCAGCTAAATCTGGCCAGAGGGCAGGGGTTAGGGAAATTACCAGGAAGCCCCTGCTTGCCTCAGTCTGCTGGGGCCACCAGGACAAAGAACCATTCTGGGTGGCTTAAGTAACAGGCACATGTTGCTCATAGTTCTGGAGGCTGGAAGTCCCGGATCAGCGTGCCAGCCAGGAGGGCTTCTGGCTTGAGGATGCCGCCTTGCCCTGGGTCCTCACATGGCCAGGAGTGAGCAGTCTCTCTGCTGTCCTTTCTCCTAAGGGCCCTAATCCCATCATGAAGGCCCCACCCTCATGGCTGCTTCCAAACCTAATTATTTCCCAAAGGCCCCATCCCAAATGGATCACACTGGGGTTTAGGGCTTCAGCATATGAATTTTGAGGAGAACACAATTTAGTCTAAAGCACCATCCAAAGTGCTCTTGACCTCTATTTAACAAAGACCTCAAATGAGCCCAAGATGCTAAACTTCAGATCAGAGAAAGAGGTTCCTGGCGTATAGGGACATGTCTCTAGTGCAATAGAGGAATCTTCCTTTTTACATTTTCCACTATGTGTCTTATAGAGTTGTGATAAGGGAGCCACAAAAGGCTTGACATGTGATTAGTCTGAACTGAGATGTGCTATCAGTATAAAACATACACCAGGTTTTGAAGACTAATACTAGCTCAATAACATTTTATATGGAGTACAGTTTGAAATAATTTATCAGCTATATTGGGTTAAATAAAGTATATTATTAAATTAATATCACCGGGGCCTCCCCGGTGGCGCAGCGGTTGCGCGCTGGGTTGCGAAGCTGCCCGCGGCCTCTGCGGCGCAGGTTCGATCCCCGGCTGCTTCCCGGCCACCGGAGGAGGGTCCCACATGGCGCGCAGACCTCTCCTGCCGCCCGCTGCTCCCCTCAGCAGTGTACTTCGGTCCTTCTGCCTGCTCTGCTCCCTGCTCTGGCTCTGGTGAATTCTCTCACCCTCCCGCGCTTCTGACTGTACCCAGTGCTTGTATAAACAAAACAAACAAACAAATAAATAAATAAAACATGCCTCTATTAAAAAATTTTTTTAATTAATTAATTAATTAATATCACCGGTTTCTTCTTTTTTTAAATGTGGTTATTAGAAAATCTAAATTTGTGAGGTGTCTTATTTCTGCAGGACAGCAAGAAGGCATGGCGGCCCTCCTGTCCCAGCCCGTGGACTCGTGCACATGGGCTAAGGCTCTCATGGGTACACGGGCTGCACAACCGGGGTCTAGATTTGGTTCACCCCGCAGCGGGGCCAGCCTCAGCGTTGCTCCCGAGGACACTGCCTGGAGTCAGCTGGCAGGAACAGTCACTGGTTGGGGACCGGTCTGATTCTCGTTAGCTTTAGGAACACATAGATAATTAATATTTTTAAACACTAGCACCCCCTGGGTGTGAGATGACTTTGCGGCGTGGAGAGGTCTGTCCACCTTTGCCACTTCCTCTGAGCCAAGCCCATCACGCAGGAGAGCAGGGGGTCATAAGCACCCATCACATTTCATCTGTCTCTTTATTTCCCCCAAAACACATAGTATGAAGTTGCTGTAAGGTGACTAATGCATGTGGAGCAATTCCACTGAATTCCATAAGCCCATCCCCATTCGCTACTTATTCCAGTTGGTTATTAGTATTCAGAGATATTGTCCACACACGTAGTTTAACTATTTCCCTATTGTCCAACACTGGAACTGCTTGCCTTTTTTTCCTGCTATTATAAACAGCAGTACTATTAATATTTTCTTTCCATTTGAATTATTTTATTGGTATGTTTTCCCTGAAGTGAAATTTGTTGGCTGGAAAGTATATACAATTTTATGGTTCCTATGATTTTTTTCTCTTTAAATCACTCTCCCAAAAGACCATCACTGCATTTTCTCCAGAGCTGGGTATATGTCCGTGTCCTTTGCTTCCCCGCAGTCCTACCAGCTCTGGGTTTGATCATTTGCAATTATTTTTACTAATTGGTATATCACAGATATCTCCTTGCATGCACTTAAGCTAATGATAACGAGTAAAGTCCTTCCCTTAAAACCCACAAAAACTGAATAGCCATACCTCAAAAGTATAGGAAAACGCCTTTCAACTCCCTCCATTTGCCAGGACTTGGGGGTCCCCGCAGTGGTACTGCCTCCTGATCCCCAGTTATCATAATGGTCTCAGAAGCCCCCTCCACCTAATAAAGACATCCTCATCCTCCCAGCAGCTGAGAACACATCACAAGTCCCCTTTCCCTGTGCAGTTTTGATGGATCCTGGCATTTCTTAAATGCCATCTGTTGATTGTTCAGGATTGAGACGTTCTGCTTTATATGCAAAAATGTTGCAGGATACATGGCCGATTTGCTATTTGTGGCTTATTAAAGCCTCAGGAAAGCCCCAGGCCTCTCCCTCTACAACTGCATCATCGTGGACCTCATCCGGGCCTGGCTCCTGATTCACAAGACAAGGTAGCCAGGCTCCGAGGGGTGGTGGACAAGAACAGATGCTCCTGGTTGCCCACTAGATGGCACCTCTCAATAACTAATGGGGACAGGACGCTTCTTTCCAAACCCAGGGCCCCAGTCTCCCCAGCTTCCTGCATGGCAAGGCACTCTAGTCTCCAGTCGTATTTATTTCCAAGGTAAACATTTCAAAACACACACACACACACACAAAACAGAAAAAATTAAAAAGTTCATTCTAACTAAAAATACACCATCTGCCTGTGAAAAAAATCTCACTCAGCACACCATGTCAACACCCAAAGCAGGTTAATAACCAGCCTAAAGCAGATGGTTTCTTTTTATAATTACTGGATTCCCCCCACCGAGGTTTCCTCCTCAATTGCCCCTCACCCCTTTGGCACTTTTTCCTGGGTGCTGCCATGGCCCAGTCAGCTGCAGGGGGGGCTGGCTGGCTGAAAGCCCCCTATTCAGGCCTGGGCCTCTCACCCTCTGCTGGCCTGGGCCAGGGTCTCTCAGCATTGTGTGGGCAGGTAGCCACCAAGTAACCCCCACTCGGTCACCCACTCAAAACCACAAAAAACAAATCCAACCAGGACACTAGGAACAGCCCATCACCCTATTTCTTGGTGAGGATGCAATGAAATGGCATCCCAAGCCCTGTTGCTGAGAGAGCAAATTAATGATACTTCCACTCTGGAAAGAACTTTGACTAAATATAACAACAGCTTAAAAAAAACCGCATAATTTTTAATCCGGGAATTTTCCTTTGAGGAGTCTAATATGAATGGAATATTAACACAAAAATATTCAGTGCAACATTGTAATAGGAAATATCAAGTGTTGCAGAATATTATGCAGCCATCACACATGTTTATAACGACATCACAAATATTTAGCGTTAAGTGTAAGTGTTCAAAGACATCTAAACAGTTAGAAAGCAAGTGCATTAAAACACACATACGTGTCATTACAAGGATGGCAGGAAACATACCCACGTTGTTGACATGGTTTTCTGGGTGGTGAGATTTGCAGTGTTTTTCATTATACCTTTCTAGATTTGTCTAGATTTTCAGCAAATAAAAGGAAATGGATCATTTTCAAGGATATTTAAAGGCACAGAGTTAAAGGAGAACACAAGGCATCGGGGAGAGGGGCTGTATGTAAGGAGGGGGCGGCGAGGTCAGCATAGGATCCCCTAATGCCTCTGGTGTCGCCTAAGTTTTATACCAGCCTGGTATTACATTCTCAAAATACATAAATGAAGATTTTCACAAGGAAGATACAGAAACACAAACACTAAAGCATAGCAGCGAGAGGAGTGAGGGGGAAGCACGGAAGAGATTTCAGCAGCTGGAGACGACAGGCCTCAGGTCAGCCCTGCCCTCTGCAAGTCGCCCAGCCCTGGCCAGCAGCGCCAGTGTCACTGACAACATGCTCCACCCCCACGAACCCAGTCAGGAGTCTCCTCTTGGCGTATTTTCTCAGGGGTAGGGCAGGGCTTCGGTGGACACTGGCGCAGGACCGGGCTAGGGCCCCCTGAGTCCCCTGGGGCCAGCAGAGTGGGACTCAGCCCACAGGAATGACAGGGAGGGGCCGGTGATCTAACAAAGGGAGCTGTTACATCCCTGATTTTCCCAGGATCCATTATAGGAACTTTAGAATTCGGCATTGTTCAACATGAAAAAAGCATCCCCTTGAAGCACTAAACCAAAATCTTTATTCTGGCTTCATCTTAATGCCATCCACAAATAAATGTTTCTTTACCTTTAAGCTAAAAAGAGAGCAAGTCTAGACCCCACTAAAGCTATTTTTAAAATGGGGGAAGGCACATCCTGATCATGGATCTTAGTTCAACAAGGAGGGCCAGACTCAGACTGTCCATCCCACGCCTGGTGCCATCAACTCAAGCAGCACATAAATGGCCCAACTGCCACGGTGCCCAGTGCCATCTGCGACCAGCTGAAGAGACATGGCTCCATCCTGAGGCCATCCAGGGTTGAATCCAGCCCAAGCTTTCTTTATATATTTAAAGAGCAGGTTTATTAGGGAAAGGGACAAAAGAGTAAAAGACACTTGCAGAGACACAAGCGGGCAGGAAGAGCTGCCCCGAAAGGGACAGGTTTGCTGAGAGAGGCCTGCATGGTCGCAGGCGGGCGGCCTTGAGGAGAGCTGCCTCTGCTGAGGGAGGTCAGTGAAGAGAAGCCCCGGCATGGGACAGGCAGGCAGGAGGCTGCTGCTCTGCAGTGGAGAGTTGGTAAAAAGAAGGACCTGCATAGCCACAGGTGGGCAGGGGGATTGCTCAGCCCAAAGCTTTCTTGACACACAGAGAAGAGTCAGAACAGTACTCTCCTAGGCAGGAAAGCCTCCCTCTGAGCACCCCAGGGGCCATACTGGTAGGAGCCCCAGAGAGAGCCCCAAGTTCCCACACTGCTGAGGCAGGGAGAGTGCCCAGGGCACCGGCAGCACAGGCCAGTCTCAGGCACTGGCATCGGGTCTCTCTTCCACTGGCATCATTAAGCCTCTGCCCCAGAACCTGCCCCCAGAGGCGTGTGCAGGACTCTGCAGGCCAGAGAAGCTTCACACAAAACCCACGGGAAAGGCCGGTCCAGAAACTTTATTGCAATTTGCTGACACTTACTCAAGTTGTTGTTCTGGAAGCACAAGAGGGAACTTTAGCTGTAAACATTGCTTAGAGATAGCGTATGATCGTAACTTCAAAAAGAGCAAACATTTTTTACTGAAAGTTTTTGATTTAAACAGCATAGCTTCACGTGGGGAGAGTAAACCCCTGGGGGGAACCAGCTCAGGTATGCAGCTGGTGGGACAAGGGGCCAGCACACAGGATGGTCCCCCCAGGAGGCCACTCAGAAGTCTCAGGGTGAGAAAGGGGTGTAGTCACGATGTAAAGGTGATTCCAGGATCAGCTGGCTCCCATGTCCTGAGATCCCAGGGAACCTGGGACCAGTTGATCAACAGATGCTTGGGATAGTCACCCTCAAAAGGTGAGAAGTCCGTGACCTTCCTCCACACTCCTGTTGGAGCCGGAGTGGCTTGGAAACCCACCAATGTCTGTGGCAGCCAGTGGCTGCTCTCCATAGCGCCAGTCACAGGCTTCTGGTTCACATCAGTACACACAACCAGCAACTGCGTCTTCATGAATAATTTCCAAACATGATCCAGCACAGCAATCGCCTCTTTAGCAGATGATATTCAAGTTTAAGTTCATACCCTGGTGGCACCAGCTGCCCATTCACCTTCCTGTGAGTTGGGAGGGTCGTCCAGCAGGAGCGGCCTAGTCATCGTACTGAACTTCCGCCCGCAGCTCCTTGGTGACGTAGCTCGCCAGCATGGCCAGCAGCTGCTGCTGCAGCATCTCACTACTCATGACCAGCGTGGTCAGCTGCACGGCGTCTGTCCAGTCCAGGTGCCTGACGATTGCCGTGGCCTCGTTAACCAGCTTCTGCTGCTCAGAGGGCGGCAGCTCCATTATGATCTGAGGAATTGGCTTGAACTGTCCACTCGTCATCCAGGCCCCTAAAAGACCCCCAACAGCCCCCCCTAGAAAACAAGGAAGGTTCAATTAGCCGGGCCTGAGTTGCAAACCATGGCCTGGGGTTCTCGCTGAGAGCATGTTCCCTGTCATGGCTAGTGGGCATGTGGTGAGTGGCCAGAACAGGCTCAGCTTCTGCCTGCTCTCCAGATAGCACAGAGAGCAAGGGTTATGCAGTCTTCACTCCAGTTGGCCCAGACAATTGACACCCAAACAGGCCCTCCTCTGAGCTCCACACTCACAGGAATGACCCAGAGCATCTCCCAACTGGCAGCTGGACTAACTAAAACCCCCTTCATGGGCTCAAGGCCTCCATGCGCCTATAAATCTCTCTCCTCACAGCAGAGAGGACTGAGAAGCAAATGCATTTTCAAAGAAAATCATTTCCATAGTGAGGCTGAGTTTCCTCTATCAAGTGACCAGATGGTCTTTGCCCTTGAATTTTGGAAATTTCCAGAGAAATCATGTGCTCAAAGGCCTCTGGGGACAGACAGGCTCTTCTCCTGAAGCAATGTCTTTCACTAACAAATGATAAATAACACATTTAACGTTCTCAACTATTTTTCTTTCTGCTGCACTAAAAGAAGGGCACATTTTTACATGTCAATCTGTGGACAAAGTTAGGCCATCTGACTTTGGGATCTGAAGACCTTGGGTCCACAGGCTCCCATCATACAAGGCCAGGCATGTCTGCTGAGGGGCCCAAACTCAAGTGCCTGCAGAGACCAGGCAGGAACAAACAGGAGTGCAGTGAGGGAGTGAACTTGGGGTGCCCAGAGAGCAGAGTCCCTGTCTCAAAGGGCAGTGGCTATCCCTTGCCAGCCAGCTGCTAGCACATGAATATCAGATTTATATTTTTAAAAGTTTCCATGATTTTAAAAAGTGTGATCAGAGATTCAGAAGCAGCAGCCAAGCTGGGCTTAGAGTTCTCTTGGAGAGATCAGAGAACAGAAGGGGAGGCAATAACTTTCACGGTGGAGACAGTTGGCCCACAAGGCCAGGGAACATCATCAGGGAGGGGAGCGGGTGCCATGTGCCCTGAGATGGAGTCTGCACAGGGTGCTCCCCTCTTGGTGCTCACTCCAAAGAGCTGTAAGCCCATCTTGTCACGAGAAAGGCATCAGGGAAAGCCAACTGAGAGGCATTCTACAAAACACCTACCCAGTGCCCTCAAACCCATCAAGGTTGTGAAAAACACGGAAGGTCCAATAAACTGTTACAGACCAGGGGAGGCTAGGGAGACACACAGATTAAATGTAGTATCTCGAGCTGACTCCTGGACAGAGAAAGATCACTGCTGCAAAAACTGGTGACTCCAAGTTAAGTCTGAAGAATTGTTAGTAGTGACCTATCAGACTTGGTTTCTTAGTCCTGACAACTGTGCTGTGGCCATAGATGTTAAGGATGGGGCACTGAATCGGGGTGAGGGGTAGATGGGAATTCTTTGTACTCTCTTTCCAGTTTCACTGTAAAACTAATATTATTCCCAAATAAAAGGTTTATCTGGAAGAATGCAGCCCATGGGAGAAGTGTCTGCAGACTGGACCCCATCGGTGAGCAGAGGAAGGTATCCTCCCCCAAGGCCCCAACACCCCAGGAAGCCTGATTCTCCTCTGAGCCTCAGGCCCTGGAGGCTGAGCCCTGACCCGGACAGGCTTCCCCTCTGCTCTGAAAGAAAGGAACATTCTGGGAGGGAAAGCTAGTAATTTACAAGTTTTACTGAACTTTTCCCCATGACACCAGTGAAACGCTTAGCACGCCGTCAAGAGTTGCACTCATCTGCACTAAACCTTTATGAGAACATCAATATTTGATTTAGAGCAGCACTTAATGCACAAAGTCACCAGGAATATCGACCAGCAAATTACTAAGTCTTTGGAGAAGAGAAAATTCCTTTGTTTTCTGGGTAGAATGATGCTTTCACCCATGACCAGGGCTGCAAGTTGCAAATCTCCCAGGTTCTCGTTGCAGACATCCTGCTCACTACAGTTTTTACTCAATCTGAATAAAATATGTCCTTCCAAAATGGCGTTTGGGCACAGCTACATGATAAATGATCCCGGCCAGTCCTCCCGAGCACACAAGCTGGGGCGGGACAAAGGTGTGGAAGGTCACTGAAGAAGCAGCTAAAGACGTGGTCCTGTCTCCTTCCTCCTTGCCGACCTCCCAGATGGCGAGAGGATGAGGTCAGGACTCACTAATTCACAGTTTGGAAAGGGAAATGTAGAAAGGGAAAGTCTGAGGCCACCCACATACTGAGTCTTCTCCCCAGTGTGGCCTGGGTTTGATGAAACGTCTTTGAATGTCCATCCAGGTACCTAAGGGAAGAGCAGAGCAGAAGCCGGGCCAGCACGCAGGGCCAGGTAGTGGCCTCAGCAGAGTGGTCATCACTGCAGCTTCTGACACATAGAGACTCGGGCCACATAGAAAGGATCTCGCCAGAACGCAAGCTGCCTGCCCGGCTCCCAGGACAGCTGCCTTGCCCAGCCCACAGATGGTTCTCCCAAGGGCGGCGTGCTTCCTGATAAACCTTTTATTTGGGAATAATATTAGCTTTACAGTGAAACTGCGAAGAGTACAAAGAATTCCCATCTACTCCTCACCCTAATTCAGTGCCCCGTCCTTAACATCCACTATAGCCACAGCACAGTGTCAGAACTAAGAAACCGGGGAGGCATTCGGGGAATAGCCCTGCACCCATGTGGCAAGCCACGCCTTTGGCAGAGGCTCTGTGTCCACAATCCACCTCAAGGGACGCCTTATCTGGCTCCTCCTCCTGTTTGCCTAACTGGCACCCAGCTCTCTGACTCTGCCCAGGGGTCAGGCCACAGCCCTGAACCAGCAGAGCTTCCAGGGCCCCAACACAGGCATTCTTCCTGCTCCTAATTCAAAAGAAGCAACTTCTTCCTAGGGCCCAAGACCAATGGGGAAATGTGCCAAACTTTCATTCATTGCCAGAAATTGGTCCCCAAGTAGATGCAGGCAGGGAAACAATGAGGCAGGGGTGAGCACTTGGGAGTGAGTCCGTGGCCTTTTCTGCACTGGGAACTTTGCTTTCAGAATGGGCAGGCTCAGGTGCAACTGCAGACCGCATCTGCTCCCAGCAGGGGCTCGGCAACCCCAGCTTCCCCCCGACCCCACTTCTGAAGTGGGGTGTAATGATGATGGGGAGGGAGGTCATCCAAAGGACCCAGGGCCCTGGTATCTTCAGACTCTAAGGCCTGGGGAAAGGCACCTCCAGGTCTTCATGACACGGACGCCCTACACTGAAGGGACGTCGCACAAGGTTGTATTTTTACTAGGACAAATTATGTCCAAGCTCATCTCACAGAAGCAATCACAACTCCACCATCTCCTCACAAAGGGCATGGGGCGCCACTAAGGCCTCTCAAGACACCGCTGAGGTTGCTGCCCTAGCTAGGCATCTGCACTTACCCACGGCAAGTCCCGGGGGGCCACCAACCAAGCCACCGACGAAGGCCACAGCCCCTGTGACCAGGGCGCCCCTGCCCGAGTGCTTGACGGCCGCCCGCATCTTCCTCTTCTCGGACACAGAGCATAGCAGCTTCATGATGTCCTCCACCACGATGGGCATCTTGGCAGGCCTCAAGGTAAGGATTTCAGAGGGGGAGTTTTAACGAGTGTAAGGGCATTTCCACCCGAATAGTACTCGCCCTGGAGTTTTGAAGAAGGGCTCCCATTTTGGGTGGAGAACATTAGCTCCATCTCCACCACAGACAGCATCCACTGATGCCACAAGTTCGTTGCCACAGAGAAAGCAAGGCAGCGCCAGACAGAGCCAGAAGAGTGAGTGGGTGAAAGGTCTCCTTTGCCTTCTGATGAACTTGATTTATGGCAGATAAAGCAGCTGCCTGGCCACAGGCCCCACCAGTTCATGACAAGGGAGGCCAGCCTGACCTCCCCCGTATCAGCAACCTTGCAACGGCTCAGGCATGAGGGTGGAAATTCCCCAATTCCCTGTCTCATGTCCCCCTCTGTAGGACAGGGTATCCAAGCTCATGCCAGGTCAGAGGAGGGGGGTGGACAGGGCACTGCAACCACACTGGCCTTGCGTGACCTGAGCAGTGTCAGGTGGGGATAAACCACTGACAGGCTGGACACCTGTAAGGTGTGCACAGAATGGGTGCGCTGGCCAAACATTGCAGACCCAGGCAGGATGGCTGTGGATGAACTTGTTGCTAATAAATACTACTGAAGCCAATCCAGTTCTGCACATGGGAAGTAAAGGCAGTAAAATCACTTATTATGATTGTTTCATATAGAAACAATCTATATGAAATCAAAGAATTAAGAAATCAAAGAATTCCAGGGGGGTTGCATATGTGTGGACAGACACAGATGAATGGGTGAACCTTCAGAATAATGACTTTTAGAACAATTCTCTGGGATCAGGAAACTGTGAGTCACACTAACAGGAAAATGCAGGGGCCAGGATCCTGTAGCCTCTGCCTGGGGTCATGGGGATGGAGCCCCAACACGGACCAGCCCCAGGAGGGCTGGGAGTAAGGTCAAAGTGGCCTCAAGGGCCTCCCCTGGTGGTACAGCGGTTGAGCGCTGGGCTGTGAAGCTGCCCGCAGTCTCTGCGGCACTGGTTCGATCCCAGGCCACCACGAGGGTCCCACATGGCACGCAGACCTCTCCTGCTGTACCCGCTGTTCCCCTCATCAGTGTATTTCGTCAGTCTGCCTGTTCTGTTCCCTGCTCTGGCTCTGGTGAATTCTCTCAATCTCCTGCATTTCTGACTGTACCCAGTGCTTGTATAAATAAATAAATAAATCTTTAAAAAAAAAAAAAAGTGGCCTCAAGCTGGTGCTTCTCCTTCCAGTCAGTGGCTCCAGGCTCCCTGGGAATTTTCCTTTCTCACCAACACTCCCCTTTCGCTCATGGCTGACACTTGCAGTCACTAAAGGAACCTGACGGGGCAGAAGTTTAGAGCAAAACCATTGCTCCCTGTCTTTGGTTACAGGAACCTTTTATGGCCCAAAGATAATACAGAACAGGTCTCTGCTGTAAAATTATCCTCCCAATTCTGGGAAAGAAGCTTGAACACCTAGAAAATCTGCAGATCTCTGATCTCACCACACTCAGGTATTCAGAACTTCTCTAGAGTCCCACAGATGCCTGTGCTCCACCCCCTGAGGGTTCCCCCTTTTATACCCCCTTATTTATTCCTGAGATCAGAGATTGTCCCAGGCACACAGGAATCACTGGCTAGTCTGGATGGGGGACAGGCTGCCTTTCCAACAAGCACCCAAACTGGTCCTGTGACCTCACTTTGGGCAGCTGGAGAGCACGACCCAGGACTTCAGATGCCGTTACTCAGTCCTCAAGTTCAGAAATTGCAAACAGGCATCCCCCAGATGTGTGGGGGTTAGCAAGAGGGTGTGACAGGAAGTGCAGAAACAGGCCCTGCAGGGTTGACCAAGGTCCAACAGGAGAGTCAGGGCCCCCCCTTCCCTAGCTCCTAGGAGCTAAGACCTGCCCTGAGTTCCAGGCCCCTCTGCTCACCAGTGGCATCCATTACAGACACAAAACATGACTCCCTACCCTCCCCAGCAAAGCCCCCTTCCACTCTTTGAGAGGTCAAGCTTGTCACATAATAAAATAGCATGGTAACAGCAAAAGAACTGTACTCGACAGAAGCCACTCAGAAATGGAGATGTGGACAGCATACCCTGATTTACCTAGTAGCCACGGTCCCGTGAAGCTATGCAGGCAAACAAAATGAATTTTACTTCAAATACATACTAAGACCACCACAGGGATTAATTTCGTAGTGAAACCTTTCCAAAACCTAAAAATCCTCCTGTAAATTATCTAATCACCTTCTAGCTTAGCTCTGATTTATAGCCAGCTCTTTATCTGTCAGTGACACTGACAAAAGGGAGAGGAAGCTCAACCAAGCCCCGCCGTGCTCGGTCTGCTAGGCTGCCTTCAAGCCCAGACACCACTCCTCACACAGGTTTTCTATGGAACTACGGATGTTGAGATCACAACAGTTCCTGCACAGCAAGAAAATACATGGAAAAGAGGCAGGAAACAGATACATACCCACTTCATCCTCTATAGTCTATCAAAAAAAAAAAAAAAAAGAAAAAGAAAGAAACCCAGCTTCTGACCTGCTCTGAATGACTTTTAAGTCAAAACCCACAGGGGCTAATGAGGCGTCATTGTGTAAATGCTACTTCCAACCTCCACTTAGCCCAGCCAGGCCAACACAAGGCACACGCCCAGGGCTCTGCAGAACTGGAGGGCCAGCAGGTGTCCCCGTGTGTAGGAGGGCAGGGGGAGGAAGCAGCTCAGCTCCAACTGGGTTCGATAGCACTACGCCACGGGTGGGGGCGGCAGTGTGAATGCCTCCATCCAGGGGAAAGCAGCTTTAATTTCCTCGCAAGAATCATTTTAGAAGTTAGAGCATCAATAGATTCTTGTTGTAAAAGAAAGGCTTATAACCCCATCTTCTGAGCTCTTACTAAAAGCTCACCTCCCAACTCCAGGCTTGCCTGCCAGACTGAGAAGGAAGCCAATGTTGGTCCCTTTCACCCACTCCAAGGCTGCCTTTTGTCTGTAAGCTGCAAGGGAGCAGATGAGTGGGGAGGCCGCAGGGAGCATGGACAGACCTCAGAAGGGTGGGAGTGTGGCTTCCCTCCGCACTCAATTCACACCTATTTTAGAGTCAAAACAGGCTCTGGTCACAGGAAACCCATCTGCCTGCTACAGGGAAGGCAAATGTCAACTGAAGCCCTGGTTTCTTGCAAGTGCCCAGGCTGGTCTGCATTGCAGCAATGTTCTGGGGGAAAGGGAGTTAAGTTCATCCCTGGGACAACAGCCAGGCTTTCTGAAATGGACCAGATAATGAGAGAGGAGGAAGAGGAAGACTTCAGAGCTCACACAGACTTCCACGCACCCTGTTCTCTAAAAAAAAAATTAGAAAAGAGGGACTTCTTGAGAGTCAGTATCCTCACTCACCTGGAGCCTCATACCTCATACTTCTGAGACACAAGGCAAGCTAGGGTTATTAGGCAGTTTTAGGGACAGTGCAGGAGGGGACCTCTGAAGAATTTAGGGAGGCTTCAGAGATAAGGACAACCAAGGGAATATAACCAATTCCACTGGGAAAAACAAACATCCCAGGACCATTGTTAACAAAATGGGAAAAACAAACATTCTAGAACCACGGACAATATCCAGAATGGTCCTGGTTTTCTTCAGGTGATAAAGATAAGGTATGGAGATGCTCTCCCGGAAGACTAGGCCATAAAGATAAAGATGTAACAAATGGGGAAAGACAAACCTGTTAGATAAGGAATGTGAAGATCCCCCACGCAGTAGCAAATTAAGTGAGACAGCCGAGAACTGACCAATCACAAAGAGACTGGTGGAGCTTTAGAATAATCAGGGAAAGAAGGTATATATTCCCTGAGACACGACTCCACTTTGGCTTCCTTGCCCCTCCCAGGCCTGGTTCCCTGGCCTGGGAGTCCCACTTTATTTCTGTTCCTTTTCTCCTCAATAAACTTTTTCATTTTATAAACAAACCTGCCTCTTCTCGCTTGCTTGTCTGAGCATCTGGGAAGTTCCTGCTGCAGCTTCGTGAGACACCAACCCGTGGGGGTCTAGTGGCTGGGACTCAGCGCTGCCCCTGCAGCCTGAGATCCGTTCCTGGCTGAGAGACTAGGCCTGACAATTCCAGTATCACTTCCTACTTCTCTGGTGCAAGTTGCAAACCTGCCCTGTGAAGCTGACCCATCAACCTTTGTCTTCCCACCTCTCCAGGCCCCAGGGCAAAGGCAGCAGGGATCTATTACCAGCAAACATTGATTAGCTCAGTTTTTTAATGAATCCATTACCAGTATCTAAAAATCTGGAGATTTCATGGACACCTCAAATTCCTGATTTCTCTCCAAAGATCAGAAGAAGGAGCCACAACAGATCAACCTTCTTGTAGCCACCCAGGCCACAGTCCCCCAGGGGTGCACCTCACCTACCTAACTGGCCCGTTAATAACCAGGGGACTTCACAGCCTCTCAAAGTATCCTTGTTTCTTTCATTTTCTTTTTCTTTTTTTTTTTTTGGCTAAAGAAGCTGCTAGTTTCACCAAAAGGAACCTTCCCTCCTAAGTCCTAAACACCCGTCCTGATCAAGTCTAAACTGAGACCTAGGCCCTTCCCAGAGGTCAAGTGGGGGGCAAGCTGAGCGGGTCTCCAGCTCAAATTCCACCTGGCCTGCTAATACCCGCCTCGGGCACACACCAGGGAGGTCCCGCACCACACCCCGTCCCAGAGACAGCGCCCCGCTGGGAGCGACGCCCCGAAATTCAACTGCCTGGATTCTAACCCCACTCTCTCCCGCTTCTGCTGACTTCTGGTGTGACTTTGGGTCTCCGTGCCTCAGTTTCTCCGTAAGGAAAATGAATGCACTCAGCGTCCAGCGCAGCGGCAGGAAGGTCAGGCAGGCCCCGCCGGCCCCGAGATCGCGCCCCGCCGCCCCTCCCTCGCGCCGGGCCTTCACCTGGGGGCAGCGGTCGCGCCGGGCCTGCACCTGGGGGACGCGCCAGCGGGCAGCGGCCGCGCGGCGTCGGGTCAAAGGCCGCGCGCGGAGAGGAGGCTCGGCGCTGCGGCTCTCGGCGCCCGCTCCCGGCAGAGGCCGGCCCGGGCCGCGTCCCGGCTCCCGCGCCAGCCGGGCTCGGGGTGGCGCAGGCCCCGCCCGCCCCGCGGAGGGTCGCACAGGCCCCGGGCGCGGCCGCGCGCACGCCCCGCCCTGCCGCCTTCCGCCCGCGCGCGGGGCCTTCCGGGTCGCCGCCGCCGCGTCCCGCTCCGCGCCGGCCCAGGCCCCGGAGCGCCTGGAGGGCGCCGCGGGAGGAGCGCGCCCGGGGTGGCGAGGGGCGTCTGCCTCGGGGCCCCTGCGGCCCCAAGGCTGTGCTGCTGCCCGCCCCACCGGCTCTTCCACCCCTCGCCCCACACACACCTTTTAGATGGGAGTTCCCTTGCGCCTTCCCGACTCCTGGGACACCCCCTTTTCTTTTCCTCCCCTCCCCCAAACCCCGCCCCCACTGTGCTGGCCCTTGGGGCCTCTGGGTCTGGAGTCTGGAAAGATGAGGAGGTGGCTTTTCTCTTGGGGTTCCAAGGGGAGGGGCAAGTCCAGCCTCCAGGGCAAAGCTGAGGTTGGGGAACCTCTTGAGAGGGTGCCTAGGACATGAGGGGTGCGTATGTGGGGGTCGGGGGGAAAGCCCAAGGGCCAGGGAGTACTGTAGTGGGGCATCGGGAGATGGCCTTGGCCTTGTGCAGCACCCCATGCCAAGAAAGGGATGTCCCAAAGCTAATTCCATACAGGCTTTGTGGACTCCACCCCCACCCCAGGTCAAAGCCAAAGACACTGGGAACTCCAAATCCCATCACCACCAAAGGGAAGGTGGCTGGGACCACAATTATACCGTCTCAAGTCTGAAAAAGGCTTCTGGGGACTTTCCTGGACTCTCCTTAGTCCAACAGCAGTCCCGCAGTGGGGGGGCGTGGTTGTCGTTGCCGGGTTACAGAGAGGTGGGCCAGGCCAGAGATTGGTCCTGAGGCCACACAGGCAGGAATTGTCAGAGCTCAGATTCCAACCCTGGTCCACTTGCTCTGCCAGGGTCACCAGGTGCAGTAAATGCACAGTGGGCCCCTGTCACCCTGCCAATCTTTTTGTTATTTTTCTCTCCCTCGCTCTCTGAATGGAAAGTAAATTGAAAAGAAGAATACATATATAATATATATATGTATGTATGTGTATATATGTATATATATTCCACTTGAGGGTATGACTGTCATACACAAAGCTATACATGTTTAGTGTATATAACTTGTTGAGTTTGGAAATAAGTATACACCTGAGGGGCCGACAGGGATTAAAGTCAACGCTATCAAGCTATCACGAGCCACTGCAGCACGAGTTGGATTTCTGGGCCTGCCTGGGAGGTGACCCATATGGTGCAGCAGACCTCTCCTATCTCCCTTGCTGCTCCCCTCAGCAGTGTATTTCAGTAGATCTGCCTGTTCTGTCCCCACTCTGTCTCTGGTGAATCCTCTCACCCCTGCCCCCCAGCTCCTCTGGCCTACACCCCAGCTCTTGTATGCATAAATAAACAAATCTTCTTTAAAATAAAATATACACCATCAAAGCCATAAATATATCCATCACCTCTGAAGTTTCCTCCCATGCCCTTCATTATTATCATTATTAGTTTTCTTTTTTAAGATTTATTTTTATATATGCATGCAAGAACTGGGGTGTAGGCCAGAGGTGCAGGGGGTGAGAGGATTCACCAGAGACAGACTGGGGAGCAAAACAGGTGGATCTACTGAAATACACTACTGAGGGGAGCAGTGGGTGAGACAGGAGAGGTCTGCCAAGCCATGTGGGTCAGCTCCCTGGCTGGGGAATCAGTGCCTGGTGATAGCTTGATAGTGCTGAGACTTTCACACACACACACACACACACACACACACACACACACACCCTTAACAGCTCCCTCTAGCTGGGGAATCAGTGCCTGGTGATAGCTTGATAGTGCTGAGACTTTCACACACACACACACACACACACACACACACACACACACACACCCTTAACAGCTCCCTCTAGCAGGCTTTAGTATGTACTACAGTATTGTGAGCTGTAGGTTCTACTGTCCCTGTAGTACAGCTCCAGAACTTACTTATCTTATAGAACTGAAACTTTGTACCTTTAATCAGCTTCATTTTGTTACTGTTCCCCTTGTCTTCCCAGTGTAAGAGAGGGCCCAAAGCATTTTCCAGGGTTGGACAGGTGGCAGTGAAGTAACCCCATCCCTTTCCTGAATAGGGAATTTTGCTTGAGTTTCGCTGACTTTCAAGAATAATAGATAACTGAGGCTAAGAATAGTCCAAGTAGGTTTGGGCCTATCTCTAGGCTTAGGTCTGGGATTCTCCAGTTTCTCTGTGGACAGCTCCCTCTGGCGGCATGTTGAAGAGCCGGGTCTGCTGACTCCTTGCCCTGCGATGGCCAAACACATCCAGGAGTTAAAGATGCTGGAAGGGAGAGAAACTTCAAGGTCCATGCCCCCTAGACGTGTGAGCTTCCAGAAGTCATGCAAATCTCCAACCCATCAGCAACCTAGGACCTTCATTCTGTTATGAATGAAGTCATAAAATGATTGCATACACTGAAGCCCATACATGTAGCACACAGTCACACAAGCTTATAATGGCAGCTGGGCCGCCTGCAAGGTGGATCCCAGGGAGAAAGTGCATGGTGGGGTTGGTAGAGGGCAGCAAGGGGCACTAAAACTGGCCAAGGACACTGCCCAAATAGTTTATCGATCACTGTCTGACCGCATGCACAATTGCAAGACTTCTCAGGTTCAGAGAACAACAATCATGGGGTTTATTTAATAAACCAGGGAAAAACAAAAAGTCACTGAGGCCAAAAATGGCCTTTTACCTCACCCCAAGCAGTGTCCAGTGTTTTCAAGTCCTAAACAAAAAGCATCTAAGATGGCATCTTCCCACCACTAAGCACACAGAGCTCCTCTACCAAATAATAGGCCACTCTCCCAAGATGACACCTTCCCACCACTATGGACCCGGAGCATGTGACGGCCAGACTACAGGCCAGGTTCCAACTCACGAAGACAGTGGAAAACACAACAGGAGATGCTCCCCAGACAAGCAACACTCAAAACAGCAGCTGCAGCAGTTGAACGACCTGACAAACGGCCACACTCACACAGCTCACGTGGGTGCCTGCTCCAGGTCTTTGCTTTCCCTCCTAGGCTTAACAGCAGCAAAACCGGGAACAATTTCAGTCACTCGGCTACTTGCAAAGTCTCCAAACTTTTCCTCTCTGAGGTTGGCTGCTGGAAGCCTATTCACATCCTTCAGAGGCCTGCACCAGTGTAGGCTAAGTAAAGTATCGGGCTTTTCTGCCCTCCCGCCATTAGAATTGATGATGAATCCCTGCGGTCCTGAATGCATGCCTGATGGCAGGCACCTGGAGTAGGGTGTGGGCAAACATAGGTGGGTACACCTGAGCTAAGACCGGGCTTATAAGGGCAGCGTCATGGGGACACCAGCAGAGCAAAAGAGAGTGAAAGGAACAGAGAAGCAAAGGCCACGAGAGAATGCCTGAGAGCCCAGACAGAGTAAAGACTCGCTGGGGGCTGGGAGCCTGCCAGCCTCCCGGCCCCCCGGCACCCCTGCCTGCCATGTACCTGGTAAAGCCCAATAAAAGTCTGCAAAAGCCACCGAGGGCTCCAGCACTCCTCTTTCACCCGTCTTCTTGGATCACAGAGATCCTGCTCTGTGCCCATCCTGCCACTACAACCAGCCTTCGGGGAAATCGGCACAGTGGGGGCAGAAATCGCTGATCCTGGAATCGCCAAAGATCAAAAAACACTGAATCCGGAACACCGTCTGCTGGGAGCTACTTCTGCAGTCCCTTATATTTCTTATCAGTCACTCCATCCCAAAATGTGATACTTTGTTACATTTTCCCTGGGGCTATCTATCCTCACCAGCACCCTCTCCAGGGGACACCATCTGTAACAGTCTTTGGCTTCAGTCATGGGTTTCAGGGTCTCCATCTTGGTGTGGAGACTGTGCACTGGCCTAGCAAACAGCATAGTAACAGAAATGGCCTTGGGAAAGGTAGTGAACTCTGTGCCTCAGTTTCCTCATCGGGGAGCTGACAATAATAATAATACATGTCTCGGAGGATTGTTCTGAAGATTGAAAGAATGTATAGGATCTAGATTATTCTTATTTACATTGTAAAGTATAAAAATGAATAGAATCTCCCAAATCCCAAATGTGAGTCTCAGATGCCTACGGGCCAGAAATTGATTCCACCCCACCTACACAACACACCCTCTCCCTGGTGAGCCCAAGAACCCTCCTGGGTGCTGGTTTGTGTTCTCAGCGCCAGCTGACTTAGAACGCAGTGGGTCCTCCAAGGCTAGCATTCCCATCTCCCACTTTTTCAGAGATTGTGTGAACCAGCTCACAAGTTACGGTCCTCTTTCTGGATAAACCCACCCATCCAGACCCACTGCAGTTCACACATACACCTGCAAACTCTTAATAAGAGCATGTAAGTAAACCTGATGTCATTTTAAACCCAACTACATGTGGGCATTGGGGGCTTCACGGTACTACCAAGAATTCTTCAACACCAGCAGAGTGTCCTTCAATTTGGCTCAATTCTGATATCTACCTGCAGGCTGCATCAGGTCCCACAGGAGAAGGGCTCAGTCCTACCAAACTGCCACCCCCCCTTTCAGAGGCCAATCACAGATGTGTCACCTGTGCTTCTGACTCACCAGCTAGAGATCAGACCCATGCCCCACCCCTTGCAGTTGACTAATTTAACAGTGACGCACAGAAATCAAACATTTTCCTTACTAGATGACCAGTTTATTATAAAAAGGCACAATGCAGGAACAGCCAGATGGAAGAGAGGCATAGGGCAAGGTGGGAGGGCGGGGAGGGTGTGGCGCTCCTGTGCCCTTTCCAGGCGTGCCACTCTCCTGAATTCCCACGTGTTCCTCATCCTGGAA